CATAAATATATTTTACATATAATCATTGGTCTCTATCGGGTCAATATGGTATGCTGCTAGTGAGAGAACCTGTTGTTAAAATATTTGAATCCCACCACTGGGTAGATCTGTTTGTAAGCTTTTAGTCTCAGCTATTTGGAAGGCTCGGCATGGCCAGGTGGTTAAGGCACTCGACTCGCAATCTGAGGGTCGCGGGTTCGAATCCCCGTCACACCAAACATGCTCGCCCTTTCAGCCGTGGGGGCGTTATAATGTGACGGTCAATCCCACTATTCGTTGGTAAAAGAGTTGGCGGTGGGTGGTGATGACTAGCTGCCTTCCCTCTAGTCTTACACTGCTAAATCAGGGACGGCTAGCGCAGATAGCCCTCGTGTAGCTTTGCGCGAAATTCAAAAACAAAAAAAATGCTATTTGGATTGTAATACAATTTATGATATACGTTGTTAATTTAATCTGAACGATATTAATGAAGTAGTTCAATAAGTTTAATTACCTAACAGATAAATTCAATCTGAAGTGTCCTAAACAATATTTGTGATTGTATCCAGTACTATTGTCATGAATTTAAGCCTATTAATTTTCGTCAATCAAATCGGATGCTGGTATGTTTGGAATTTTAAATAATTTTCACAAATCAAACAATAACTAGATAATATTACATGTATCGATGGAATATTTTTTAACGCAACAACAAACAAAACTTTGCACGTGGGTAAGAGTAAAATTGTCATGGTTAGAGGTAGTTGTAGTCAGCCTATTATTATTAAAAAAGGTACACAAAAGAGTTTGAATTAGCTATTTAATTAATTATAAAGGTAACCGTTGCAAGTTACATATTATTACAAGTACTGAAGTGAAGAGCACTGTTTGCGCAGAATATTTTACCTTGGCTGACTTGTTCGATAAAGAGGATTTTCTTTACGCTAAAAGGCCGTTTATTCGAAGACCTTTCAATGTTATCATTACTGGCTTAATTATATTTGTTTTTCAAACTGCCAGGTAGAAGAATGTTGAAATGATTTAGGGGACAAAAAGAGAACTAAGACGAAGTCAGGAATATGGAATGGGGAGTTTATGGGATGTTCATGAGATTCCCTCTTCTTGTCAGAGTTCTAAGAGATTGTGTAGATTAGTTGTTATGGTTTTGGAAGTGTTTTTGTTTGTTTGTAGTTAAGTGCAAAGCTACACAATGGGCTGTCTACGCTGTGCTCATCATGGGCATCGAAACCAGACTTTTAGCGTTATAAGTGTGCAGATATACCTCTGAGCCTCTGGGGTCGTTTGGTAGTGGAATGAACGAGGAGGAAGGAGACTAATTAATGAAGTCTCTTACGTAAGGTTACTTAAGAAGACTGCCTCTTTTAGGGTCATTTCTAAACGACTGTAGTTTGTCATCGAGTCTGAGTTTCTAATGCAATTTACTATAATTAATTTCTGACGGAGTTGTAATAATATATATATGTTTGGTCCATGCGGAATATGTAGGGGCTTCCTAGGGCGTTGATGAGATGACTAAATTTCTTTAT